GGTTTGAGAGTAATAATTTTTGGCAGGTGAATTCTCTCTTATAGCTTATAATTGATTAAATTTGTATAATGTATAGTTGAATTGCTATTTTTTAAATTTTATTATTGAAAGTTAGTTGAAGTGGTTAGCTAAAATAGATAATGTTGTTAGAGTAAATTTGAAAAAGTGGTTAGTTAAAGTAGATAATGTAATATTTAAATATATTTTGAGTAACTATTTTATATAGCATTGTTGGAGATGCTCTAAGCAAGTGCACACCAAAATAAAGCAATGTAACGTTTTTCCATGAAGCCAGGGGATCACCATTTTCAGAATTTTAGTATGAGACACACGTTGATAACAACCAGATTCACGCATAGGATCGACTGTGCTCGAGGACGACATAGTTTTTAGAAATACTTTATTAACCCAACTATTTTGGGTATAAAAACCCTTCTTGATGTTATAGTATACCCCTTAAGAATTTCAAATAAAATCCCTTGATGATAGCACATGCTGGCTACACCAGAGCACCAAATAACAATAAGATAGAAAATTCAGGTGCACCTTGGTCAGTACATAAAGTCCTAAATCCATTAACTGTGTTTCTATGTGATGACACTTCCACACTGCCTCGAAGTATCTCAGTTATGCGAGTATTTGAGCTGTAGGCCAACACAAAATTTCTTCAAAAAAGTACAATTGCATAAACTTGAGGGACAAACGACATGTTTAGGACCTTATAACAAGGGCAAAGAGACGTAGAAGAAACACAAACACATTGTTACATGATATCCTTGTTTAATTTTCATAAGACACTGTAACAATTCATACGATACTGGATCAGATCACTTATTAACTTCGTGCATAAATCACAAAATAGTTAGGCAGTTTGGTTTTCCATGTGGATATGAACCCAGTAACTAGAACAGAAAACAATAAAAACAATGATTGAAAAAAGGATTTAAAACAACTGTTAGGGTGACATTAACAGAGACTGAAGCAAACCAAAACAGAGACCCATCTGGCCAAGTACCAAATGCACAATGTATTGATTGAACCCAGTTACCAATAATTGAATTCAAACTGAAAATAAACATCGGAATTCATGAACTCTCATTATTTTCACACATAATTCACAAGTGCAATAAAATCATTGCACACAAAAACAAATTAAGATAAATCCCAAACATTGATTATGTACTGAAAACAATGTATGGGAATAGCAATGAAAGTACCGTCCATGAGCGCTGTAGAAATTTCGGGGCAGTGATAATAATCGAACCTGACGAACACCAAACAAAGTATGATCCAAAGCTATAAATTGGGGGGGGGGGGGGGGGGGAGAGAGAGTTACGTAAGTGTTAGGGAGAGAACTGAGAAGGGAGACGAGATTGAAGCATCCGAAACATTGGATTGATTTGTGTGAGAGGAGAGAGAGAGAGACGTGTAGGGGAGTGACGGTAGGTTGGGGTTTTCCGAACCACGGATAAGTACGATTAGATACGCACGATAAAATTTAAAAAAGTAAAATATAGGTAAGATTAAGATTCAATTATAATAAATTATTTTTATTATTTTTAACCAATTTAATATTTATATATTTTAATAATTTTTTAAAATAATAAAAAAAAATTATAATTTTTTTTAGTTTTAAGAAAATATATATCATTTTACTACGATATATTCACAAAGTGAAGTGATTAATTAAAGGAATCAAAACTAACATTCATCGAATTGGTTTATTTAGAAGTAATTTTCACTCTGATTATAACGTAATAGGTTTATTTTATACTCTTTTGACATGTAACTAGTTGATGCACACGTGCTTTATACATCAATTTTTTTTAATGTATGATATTGTGCTTTGGAGATGTAAGAATTATTCAATTGTTCAATTCTTTAGAAAACAAGTGATATTCAATTGTATACCCAACCACCTGAATTGTTTAATTTTTTGTAATTTAGAAGTTGTTTGGTAACGTTTTTGTTTTTGTGTTTTCAAAAAAATAAAAAAACAGAGACAATTTTTGTTTTTGTTTTGTAATAAAGACTGAAACAAAAAACATATTTGAGAGTCATTTGTGTTTACCAAATTATGAGAATAAAAATAAAAAAAACATATTTGATAACCACTTAAAGTTATATCCTTAAATCCCCAAATGATAATTCAATTCCACTCTCAATTCAATCTCAAATGGCAATTTAATTCCACTCCCAAAATTTTTTTTTTTTTTAAACAAATCAACACTTTCTATCATTGATAAAAAATTATTACAAAAGAGAGAAAGGTAAACAAACCTACCCATTCAACAAATCAAGAACAAAACTACTGTCATCTTCCAAAGAATGAGAAAGAAGCAAAGAATATTTGAATCTAATTCGAGAGCCCTCTCCAATCATGTGAACCAAGAACCTTCTCATGTCTGGAATCAAATCTGGAACAATCAGAAGCCCTCATCTGCACCATCTGCTTGGACAAAATGCCACAACAACTAATCCACTATAGCAAGGATTAAGACAAGCCTCTATCAGACAACTCAGCACCTTACTCTTGATCATCAAAAACCAAAACACACACAACCCGAAAATAATAACATAAAAAAGACACAGATTTATGTATATTGTGTTGAAAAAAAAATACATATCTATGTAAAAAAATACGATGGGGGTCTGTGATGTACAGATCTTTGTATACATATTATACATAGATCTATATGTGTACATAGATCTCCACAGCGAGGCAGAACTCAATGGATTAGATCTGAGACATGAGCAATCGATGAGAAACGAGGAGCCTTCTTCTTCGTCGAAGGTTGAGAGAAAACAACGTAAGACCACACAACTCTGAGGAGCAGTCTTCTTCTTCTTCACTTGGGTTCACGCCATAGAGAATCCAGATCAGAGAGGTCTGTCTGGGTTGAGAGAACGAGACCAAATGAAAAAGGGCAAAAGGCTCAATATATGTATTCCAACGAAAAATAATAGTATTTGTTGCTAACAGAGATCGAAATGGAGACCTCATTAAATCCATCATCGCGTGTTTCTGTTCTGAGATGTTTCTTGAAACATCTTTTTTTTGTTCTCATTTTTTTGTCCTTGTTTCCAAACAACTAATATAAAACAAAAACAAAAATAGTATCCAAACATGTTTTTGTATTCATTTTTGATAAAAATTAAAAACAAAAACACAAAACACAAGATAAAAACAGTTACCAAACAACCCCTTATATTATACCATAAATGTGATGTAGGTGCTCAATATGTTCTTTTGATTAATATCATATTATTAAACCAAGAACAAATGTTCATACATAATATTTATCCAAACGATTTTTTTTATAGTGAAAGCAACTAATATTGTAAAATAAAATGTTATTTCTAAATCAATTTTTTGGTTTTTTTTTGCAAAAAAAAAAAATGTGTGCTGTTCTCTTTCACATTTGCAACTTATTAATCAACCATGAATTTATGCATTTTCCTTGTCAACTAATCAATGAAATATGGTAGAAGTCATGAACTACCTGTATAATTGTCTGGAGCAACTACATTAATGGACTCCTCAAAAATATTATTGATATTTTACTCTTAGAAGCAAGAATAAGATTAGATGTTGAGTATCTTATATCTAAGTAAGTGGAAAGAATTGGACAAAACCACTTTCTTTTGGTTCCTTTATATTCAGTCTTTGCACAAATAAAACATGCATGATGAAACCATATTTCTGATCACCTTCTTTAATGTGTCATCCACATTTCTGATCACCTTCCTTAATGTGTCCTTCACATTCAAAAGAACAGGAAAAAAAACTTGCTCAATGGTAAAAAACTTATAAATATCTGGAACGTAAACCTTCAAAAATGGACTTTTATTCACGATTTTATATCCAATCGAACAAAAGGGGACATAAGATACATTCACATGACAATTTGACATCATCTCAAATATTTACAAGTTGAATTGTCAAAAAGTACTTGATACAAAAGCCCAACTGGTATATAATCTATGTAACTTTGAACTTGATAAAAGGTCCAACTCATTGCATTCCAAGTAAATAGCATTCATATGGACCATCACTATCTCAAAACATGATTAGAGGACATTTGTTTGTGTATGCATAATATGGATACACCAATTTACTTGTCAAAGAAAATGCACATATATAATTATGTTTTATTACTTGGCTGGCTTCTAGAACTTTGAAGGCAGTAGTTCTAATGAACTATCTCGTCAAGAATAATAAAAGCATTAAGAGATCACAATGAATTTGCTAACCACTAAATTTTTTTTTTTTTTTTTTGACATATTTGTCATAGAAACTACAAGACAATATAGACACATTTTCCTAGTAGATACTTGCATAAAATCTAAGTCTAAAACATCATAAATGTCGTCATATAAAACTCTACAAACTTTAAACAGAATGAATCCAACATATTTAAAGATAAGTGGTTGTGACATTTTTCTATTCAATTTCCTTAGTGGATTAATCTTCTTTTTTATCAATATTCCATATAACCAGTTCAAACAAAAGTAAGTATCGTTGAAGCTCTTTGCACTACGGCTAATAGCTATGCCAACAAGGACTAAGGATTTAGGGAAACATGGGCTTGAATATGTGTTGTACCAATTTAAAGATATAAAACAAACGAAGTCCTTAAGTAAAATTTTAACATATGAACAATCTAAAGTAGGATTTGAACCTACCATTAGTAGTTATGACATGTCTCATTGTTCTTTTAAACAAAAAAGTAAACTAATAGTCAAGAATCTTCAGCCTATACCAATCTTATATGAAATCTTTACCTTTTTCTTGTCAAGCTATACATGAACATTCACCCCCAACATGAATTTTAATAAAGAGTATCTAAAATATGTTTGATGCAAGGAACAACTTGACAATTACAAGAATCTTCGACATGGGGGGCATGGAAAAAGCAAAGAAGAGCGGAAGTACAAAATCTATAGTTACACATCAAGTATATTTCTTCATGTTTTGTTAGTATATTCTGTGGGTTGTA